GCACGTTATGCTTTGCGCACTTTTCTAAAATCCTGTATGGTAAGAGCTACGTGCAACAGCTTCGTGCTCTTTCTGAGTGGTTTAAAACCCCGGTTCCGCCTTGGGCACCACTCCTCCTATGTATCCTCTGGATACCTACTTAACAGGGTATTGCTACTAAGGATCTGTTGAGACAGTTCCTTCAGCACATACAAAGAGAAACGTGTGGTAGCCCCTGTGTGACAGGCCAAGACTAGTATGATTCTAGGCTCTTGGTCATATTCCCTTAAAGGAATCTATTCCTGATTCCAAGCATTGAGCTCTACCCCGGGCCCAAGAGTTCTGGACCTAACAGGTACGTTTTTGGGGGTATGTAGCCTAGGCCTTTGGCCGTAGGGAATAATGTCACTGACAGCCGTCTAACGTCCCAGGGGCAACTCCCATGGCAATATGGTAGAGTTGGTACTTAGTGCTCGCCATGGTTTCTGGCATGCACTCCCCTCAGCATGGCGGCGTGGGTATACTGTTCCCAATAGCAACCCCTAGAAGACGCAGTTCGAAATTCCCATGAAAGGGAACGTCTCAGGTTATGTAACCATGGTTCCCTGAGTAGGGAACGAGACACTGCTTCCTCTAGGTGTCTTGCCATGCTGCGGATGCAAGCATCAGACGAAGAAGTGAATGATGTGTGCTCCCGGCGCCTATTTATACTATAGTCGCACCGGTAGTGACGTCATGGCTGTCGCCGGGCCAACGAGTTGGTGTTTTTTCAATGTATGCTTCAGACATGGGTCACAATGAGGCGTTCCCCATAGTGACCCCTAGAGGATGCAGTGTCCCGTTCCCTACTCAGGAAACCATGGTTACATAAGTAACCGGAGACGTTTTTTAAGTTTCCCATGCAATCTTTTTTTGAGAACTAAAGTTTCTCTTGATAACCACAAAATAATGACAAATTCTCTCTCACACACAGCAGACTGGATGATTGTTTCTGCTCAATTTACTTGAGTTTTTCCAGGTGGTTGAGCAGTTTCACTCCTGAATCTCCTGGGTGATTGTAGCTCAGATCCAGCTCTCTCAGGTGTGACGGGTTTGAACTCAGAGCTGATGCCAAAACAGCACAACCTTCTGCTGTCACCATACAGCCAGATAATCTACAACAGAAAGTGTTCATGTTAGTGTGCTTCATTTTTCAGAGAAATACAATACAATTTAATAACCAGCAGGACTCTTCAGCTGGCAGTCTGTGGGTCAAATCCACAAATCCTCTGATTGATTTAAACAAAATTGTGCTGCTGCCTGACACGAGATAATCTGCAAACCTCATCGGTGAGTTCAAAAGCACTTAAATGTATATCCAGACCAAAGAGTGTGTCTTTTTTCTGGTCACAGTTCAGCTCAACTGGTTTCCCAAATATTAACCAGCACCATTTAGACACAAATAATCACATTTATTTAATCTCTTATTGCTCACCTTATCAACTGCTCTAAGTCTTCTAGGTCTGTCCCTCTGTTCTTAAAAATGCTGCTGTCTTTCTTATTTTAAATAAATCTGAGCTCGATTTTCCAGTTATGACCAATTTCAGACATAACTCCAATCTCCTTTCATTTACAAACTCTTTGAAAAAGTTGTTGTCTCTCATCTACGGGGCTCCTTTAAATCCATCTCAGACTATTAAAAATCAGGGTGTTACATTTGATTCTTCACTTATCTTTCAAAATCATATAAATATAATTTCCAAGACTGCATTTTACCACCTTTGCAATATTGCCCGACTGCGGCCTGTTTTCAGCCCCAAAGACACTGAAACTATAGTTCACACTCACGTCTTGACTGTTGTAATTCTCTTCTTATTGGACTGCCTGATAAAACATTTGCCAAATTACAATATGTCCAAAATTCTGCTGCCAGAGTCATTTATCAGGTTAAGAAATCTGGACATATTACCCCAATTCTTCATAATCTGCTTGATTGCCTGTTTCTCTCTATATTCAGTATAAAATTCTTCTGTTACACTGGCCAAATTCTAACAGTAACACTGTTTTTCATCAAAACCATTGAAAACAATGCATTCTGGGTAATATTTGTTGTTTTCGATAAAGTAGCCTACTGCAATATTACTGTGAATTAGGGCTGGGCGATATATAAAAAAAATCTCAATATTGTCAAATTTTTAACGATATTCGATCTCGATATGTTTGCATTTGCTTTTAAATTAAAAAAAAACATGAATTTCTTTTGCCCCCATTAAAAAAACAACAAAAACAATTTAGATTGAACAGCTATTGTTACAAAGTAAATACTAAATGTTTAGTGCAAATTGAACCAGGTAAAAAAAATATAGATAAAGTGATCACTTACTGCTTTTTATTTAATGAACACATGTGTATATATAAAGTAGTGCAAAATAAGTACAGAAAGTGCATTCTGTCAACTTTTTTAGTGCATGCAATTCACAATTTACACTGTGCAACTGGGGGAAATAATTAAACTGGGATAAATATTTTTTTTTTACAAGTTTTTAGCCAAGAACACAAGTCTGTCAACTGTCTGGTTTAAGAGAAGCTAGCTGCTGAAGCACATAGGTATTTCTTATTTATATATATTAATACCAAAGACTTATGCACACTCTCATTGGTAAAACAAATGAAAAATATTATAACAGTGAAATTTCTAATAATAATTCCAAATTGCCATAGATGTTTCTCTATTCAAACAACAGCGGTTGAGTGCATTTATTCAGCGATCACAAATCGCAAACTATACAGTCGAGGTCTCATGACAGAACACAGACACTGAGTGACACTTTAATTTAGATCACTAAACTCCAGCTTGTTAGTGTTTACAGATCATCGGCGGCGGCGCTTCCACAATGAGGAGCGAGCGTTTGCGCATGGTTGCCAGATTGCTAAAGATAAGCATAACACCAGGCAGAAAATGTATCCTTGAAACAGCGAAGCTCTGATTAGGGGATTTGAACTCTTGTTATCTGGAAACCGCACTTATGAAAGCTTGCGTAGTAGAGGCGTGTACTGAAGAGCAGTCCGCAATAACATGTTGTCTCCTTTTTTGAACGTTCGCTGCGTTCTTTTGGGAAAAGTATGCTTGAATTTGAAATATTCGAATATCACGATATTTTCCACGATATTTTCCAATTTCTCCAAATTTACAAAATTATTGCGATATCATCGCTAATATTCGATATAACGCCACAGTAGGCTGTGAATGATCAGTGTTCAGAGTCGACACTCCGAGGCTGTGTTCCAAATCACACCCTACACTCTCATTCACTATTCCCTACATTAGTTTACTAATATAGTCCACCTGACAGAGAGAATCCAGATACTGATGAACACCTGCTGTTAACAAGCAGAATCACTGAAGAAAGGAGAAACAAAAGAACTGACTGAAAACAAAAGACATTAAATCTCTCAAGATCTCAGCAGCATTACTAGCTTCACTTATTACTAATATACGTTTGACTTTATTTCTGCCATATGTCTAAAGAAGTTCTCTTTGAGAATCATCAGAGATTTAGATGTTGCTGTTTTATTGAAAATAATGGATTAATTTGAAGTCACCATTATTGAGAACAGTGTTTGCTTTTTATTGGGCTCTTGACCCTTGACTTTTCAATATCTCTGTCTTTGGCTGATTCTGTGTTTTAAAAGCACATTTATCACGAAAAGCCAAGAGAAAATGCAGTTAGATGATGTTAGTTATGTGTTGACAATAACATAATTAACATGGAGGGACCAGACTGGGTTATTTCATCCAGAATCAACCATTGATGAGATTCATATGCTGATTCTTGATGTCTGTGTGTGTTTGGCTGACACCTTATTTCACACCTTTTTGTGAAAAGTGTGTTTGAAAACTCTTTCTAATTGACAGTGGTGGTATCACTGTTGTGTTAATGTAAAGTTAAAGTGCATCAACAACATAACTCTCTCAAAAGAAGATTAGATACTGGATGAGATCAGTCATGCTGATCTCAGCTTAATCTTAATAGGCTTAAGATTGCCGCAAAGCACTGAGTAAGTCTGATTAAGTCTTTTTTTATTAACCTACTTTTATTAGTTTTCACATAACTTGTACACATTTTACTAGTTAGACTTTTTCCAAACTATATTGATAATTCCTGACTAAATGTATAATCAAGTAAAACATTATGAAGTTTCATTCACAGCAACTAAATGTCTCACGATGCCAGGAAGTTTTTTAATATTCTATGACATAGACAGCAATACGATATATAAAAGTAATATGAGTTATAATGTTACAAGCCTGAATGATTAGACAAAACTTTACTGTGATCAGCTATTCTCTGTTCACGAATATAGCCATATATATTTATAACTATAGTTTTTGGATTGCATAGGCCTACATACAAAGCATGCTTGTGTTTATGAATGTAACTAAGCTTCTGTTCATGAATATCTGCTTTGGTGTAAATATTTTGAATGTGTTATACCCGGTCATTGGTGTTTGCAATCGTCTGAGGTGTAGATGTATCAAGTAAGCTGTAAATATCACTGATAATGTGTGTGCTATGTGGTATTTGTGTTCTTTTTTTCTATAAATTAGTACTAGTATCAGTGACCATCACAATAATGTTAATAATGTAGTTTATTTGTGTAAACAGCATGCTTACTTTTTTATTTCAGATGTGAGCATAACAGTGCAAAAGAACCTATTGCAAAGCAAGCCAATGCAAATAAGACCAAGCGAGGCACACACTCCCATGAGTCTCTTCAAAATGTTTTTTTATGTCCTTCAGAGCACATGAACAATATACACTTTGGAAATGCCAGGTATGTGATGTTCATTTATATATTTCAACATGACACAATACAAGTCAAAAGTTTTGAACAGTAAGATTTTTAATGTTTTTGTAAATAATTATTTTCTGCTCACCAAGCCTACATTTATTTGATCCAAAATACATAAAGTTGCATTTGCTAAAGCAGTAATATTGTGAAATATTTTTACTATTTAAAATAACTGCTTTCTATTTGAATGTATTTTAAAATGTAATTTATTCCTGTGATCAAAGCTACATTTTCAGCATCATTACTCCAGTCT